CTCAGGAGGAATTTAAAGTGGAAGAATACTGTGGACCAGAGTTCCCATAGCATTTGGTAGCATCTCAGTGGGATTCTACATGGGTCAAGGTCGTCTTAGGGGTGGTGGTGAGGGCTAGGTGTTGATGGGGGCCTGGCAAGCCCTTGGAGGTTGTCTCAATGTATCTCTGAGGAGTTTCCTGGTATTTAGGGAGCTCCATGTGGTAGGGGATCCTAGGGCCCCCGGTAGCATCACCTCATTAATCTGGCGCATCCTACGCTCCTCCAGGTCCATTTTAGCCCGCAGGAAGCCCTCATGCTCGCTGATCTCTCCAGGCATGCCAAAGTACACGTCCACACCGTCTGTGGGCCTTGGGGTGGGAGTCACTGCGAGCCCGGGAATCGGAGTCAGACTGAAGCTCATCTCCAGGTCACTTTTCCTACCTTGAGAACTACATTTCCTAGAGCACACTGGAGACCATCATGGGTCCATTTTAGCCATAGCTGCTATCTGACATCATGGGAGATGTAGTTGTGGACTGGGCCTGTTCTTACAAATCTTAGGAATCCATTACACCATCCTCTAAGCTTTCCCAAAATAATCCTCAAGACCTACCAAACGGTTCCTCCACTTTCAGGTACCCCCAAGCCACTCTCACTCTTTGCATTCTTCACAGGCCAGCCCTTCCACCTCTACATTATCCAAAGCTATTCCCATCCCTTCCATTCCCCCCATTTGGGCCTCAGCCCCACAGACCCCTCCCAAAGATGCCCCTCCACCAAGGCTCCCTCAAATCATTCTCTCTCCAGGGTGGAGGGGCCTCGGGATTCAGAGACTGCCCCACCTTTGCTGACCCCTGCAGGGGTATGGGAGCTTGAGGGTGGGGCTTTTTCTTCCTCTTCCTCTTCAGCCCGTGGGGGCTCCACGAAGTAGTCATCTACCGGCTGTAGAAAGGATTCCTCCTCTTCCTCGTCCTCAACCCCCTCTACTCTGCTCCCCGGGGGCCAGGACCGGGTGGAGGGGTCACTAGGGAGCAGGGAAAGACCCGATGCAGTAAGAACCTGGGCCCAGGCCCCCAGGCTTCCATCTCCTGCCTCGGGAGCCTTGGGATGGGTGGGCATGGAGGATTCCCTCCCACTCACCCAACTGCTGTCCCGGACGGGTTGGGGGTCACCGGAGGGGGGCAGCACACATACTCCACACCTCGGAACCGATCCGTGCCACAGGGCAAAAGCATACCCGAGCCATGCAGGATGAGGCCCTGGGAACTGCAGGCCTGTGGGAAGAGTGGGCCCAGTTGCCAGGATTGTGACGTAGGAGAGGGTGGAGGGGGGCCTGGATGCCTGGGTCTTGGGGGCTGATGGGGTTGGGAGCCTAGATTCCTGGTTCTGTCTCTGTGGGAAGAGGCGGTTGGAGGCCCAGACTCTTGGGTTCTGGAGGAGCAGGGTGTTAGGGGACCTGACTTTCGGGTTCTGGGGAGTGCAGATGGATGGGCCAGGGTCCTCACCTCCTGTGCCTCCTGGTGTCTCCGGGTTGAACTCTCACACTGATCCATGCGCTCCTGGTGCAAGAACCGGCAGCCTTCGGGCACCAGCAGGGCCTCGCTCACAAATTCACCGGCTGGGGAATGGGGGACACCAGAGTGAGAGACCCTCCCACAGCCACTGGCCCCACCCTCCTCGGAATCTAGATAGTTTTATCCTCGGAGGCTTCTCTGCCCCAGTCCAGACCCAGGCATCCGGCTCCCTAATGTGGACCCAAGACTGGGGCCCAGAAACCTGACCCTTGGAGACCCCCGACCTCCATTCCCCTCCCCTAGCCTGTGACTCACGCAGGCAGTGGAAAGGCACAACCTGGTGGTGGGGGTGGGCACAGCGGCCACCCCGGGCACCCCCACACCAGCGCTCCATGGGAATGGCCTGTGTCGCCTGTTCCACACGTGCAATCTGCAGCTCCGGGTACATCTGCGGGGACCGGTTGGGGGCGATCAACCCATTGCCAGCCGCGCCTCTCCACTGGCCATGTCCCTTTTCAAAGCTCAGAAGGACCTCTCCGCCCCAGGTCCTGCTTCTCCACAGAATCTGTCTTAGATATCTAAGCGCCTGCCTGCCTATTGGCCACGCCCCCTAGTAGCTCTCTCTTAAAAGCCCCGCTAACCTTAGGCCCCGCCCCTTTGCCTGTCCAGTTTTGTTACAAAGGTCCCTCCTCTAAGCACACCTCTCTTTTTGTCACCTCTGCTCCCTTCCCCAATCAGGATCATCTCCCCATAGGTTCCGCCCTCCCTTAAGCCTCGCCTCTTTCTCAGTCTGGCTTCTCAGTAACCGTCCCTTCTCTGTGTACTAGACTTGCCTTTCTATAGCCACGCCTCCTCGCTATCCACTCTCATTGGACTCCGCCCCTTTCCCTATCTTGCTGGTCCATAGGTTTTTTTGTCTTAGCCCTGCCTTTCCTTTAGCCACGCCCACTTAACCCTACTCTTTAAGGACCCTACCACTAGACTCCGTCTCTTCACCGGATGGATATATTCTTCAGCTGGTCTTTGCACAGTTCTCCACCTTTCCTGACCTGGTTTCTCAAAAACAGGTCCTGCCCTATCCTCACCTCGCCTCTTTGTTGGCCACGCCTCCTAGCTTCCCCTCTCTTCTTAGATCCCTCAGCCAGTTGAACCACGTCTTTTGCATATCTAGCTTTTTATGGGCGACCCCACCCCATCTTGGACCCGCTTTGCCGCCGACCACGCCCCTCCCAGTAGGTCCAGCCCACCTGTCTGCAGTACTCCAGCACGCGTTGTGGGTCCCGGAGACAGCGTCGCGAGCGCTGTGGGTCTGGTTCCCAGCGGCCGGTGCGCAGGTCCCGGTGAAGGGTTAGGCGCCCGCATAGTCCAGCCACCTGGGCCGACCCCGGGGCCTGGGGTGAAGGCGGAGGGGGTCAGTGAGGGCTCAGGGGACGCTGGCACGTGGGTTACCCGGTCCTTTGCTCCCTAGGACTCAGATGTTCAGACCCCCAGCAGCAGCCTCCTCCACCAAGCACTGCACACTCGGCTCCGTAGAGGGACCGTTCCCCGGGAAACAGCTCCCACAGGGCGGGGGCGCCCCAGCTCTCCTGTTGCTATGGCGACCCGGGTCCCCCTGGATTCTCGCGGCCTGGTTGCCATGGAGACAGGCTCCGCCCCCACCCCGACGCAGCGGCGCTGGAGCCCGAAGGGGTTAAACCCGAATCGCGGGGGAGGCGGCCAGAACCCAGGCGTTCTGGCCCCTCCTCCCTCCATCCCCAGCTCAGGCTCCCATTCTCGGGTGCAAAGACGACAAGGCCGGGCTTCAGGGCCCTGCAGGCCTGGACACCAGTCCTTGAGGGCTGGAGAGCTACATCCTGGGTCAGGGGGCGGTGGCTGGAGGCCTTGACTCCTGGGTTCTGGGAGGCTGTGGGGGCCCTCAGTGGGTGCAGAGAATGCAAGGTGTCCGGATTCTTGGATCCAGGTGCCTTCCTGCCTGATGGGTCCTATGTTCAGGCGGGAAGGGGTTGGGCTGAGTCACGTAGGTCGAGACGGTGGTCTGAGGGGGCTGGACTTCTGGGACCAGGGGCTCTGGAAAAGCCAGTCCCTTTGCTGAGGACGGGAGGGGGCTGAGATGGCAGATGATGGGGGAGCTGGGGCCTGGGTTCGTGAATGCCTAGTGCCGTTAGGGGCGCCTTGGGGCCAGCCACCTGGCTGCAAAGACTGCGGTTTCTGCCCTGGATATGTCCGCGTCGGGGTCCAGAGGCCCGGTCCCGCCCCTTCCCCCATCCCCCAGGACCCGGCCGGGGCTCACCTCGGCCGCGCCGGGGCTCCCACCGGCCAGGCTCCCGACGGCGAGCTGCGCGCGCAGAAGCAGCAGCGATAGTGGCAGCAACAGCGGCAGCGGCGGCGGACCCCGGCGGCGGCCCAGACCGCGCGTGGCGGGGCTCGCGGGCCCCATGTCCCGGCCCTCGCGCCCTCACGTCCCTGCACTCCCGCCCGGCCCAGCCCGGCCCCAGCGGTGACAGGAGCTCCCGGCTCCACCGCCGCCGCCTCCTCCTCCCGCCGCCCCCGGGCTGCGCCGGCGCCGCCAGCCCCGCCCCGCGCCGGCCCCGCCTTCCCGGCCAGGACAATAGAGTGGCAGCTCTGCGCAGAGTGGAGCGCTGTGGGACCTGGGGGGAGCCTGCGCCAGGTCCCCGCCCCGAGATGCCAGGCGGCCCGGCCCAAGTCCAGGGCCCAGCCAGCCAGGAGTCCAGGCCATGGGCCCCACCGTGGTGGATTTTGAGTCCTCCCTCCGGACCCTCACCCCCAGCTTTCTTCTCCCTTGGACCCAGACACTCACAAATCACCTTCCTCCTCTTCCAGGCACGCCAGCATTGGAGACGGCACTCCTCCCCCCACCTGCCCACCCCCCCCCGCCCCCATTCCTCCTCAGGAATTCAGGCCTCCCAAATTTCTCTAATCAGGAACACATCAATTGAGACCCAGTCCCTTTCTCCCTCAGATCCAGAAGTCTGGGCCCCAGGCATCTTCTCTCTCGGGACCAGAGACCTCCCTAAGACCCGGGAGTCCAGGCCTTCTGCTCTGCTTCCCAGAGGTCCCAGGTGTCTGGACCTTTAATTCCTAGCTCAAGGATCCACTCACCAAAGCCCCCAGGCCCTTTCTTTAAGGATGACCAGAGTCGGGTACCCAGCACCTCAGGGCAAGGGCCAGGACCCCATCCTTGCTCGAAGGACCAGGACGTTTGTATTTTCCCATCCCTGGCCTCTTCCTCCCCGCCTCCCCTTCAGGGCTCACTGCCTTGTCTCCTCAAATGATAGTATTGAATTCTGTCTTACCCAAGCCAACCGGGGCAGCCCCGTCAGGTGTGTGAATCTTTGTGTAGCTGTGGAATAAAAGAGCCTGGAGTGCTAAATGGGTAGCAAGGAGCTGGGAGGAGTTCACAGATTTGCTCCGCTAGCCACTTCAGAGCCTAGGGTGTAGGAAGGGCCTTGGGGCAGGTCGGATGGACCGCTTCCTTGATGGAGGGTAATAACACCAGGAGAACCCTAAGACACATTCACTTCTCGACTTTTTTTTTATTAAACATAAATATTCTCATCCCCAGATTCCCCTCCCCCACCTCCAGGGACAGTTCTCGCCCTATCCTCACTCCTTTTCTTCCAGGTCCACTTCTTCTTCTTTAAGGAAGATGGAAGGAATCAAGATGGTGGCCATCTTGGGTTCCCAGGGAGTGAAGGGCCATCTTGGCAGCACTTCCACTGGCCAAGCAAAGTGCCCTTCAGCACATGGCCTGGCCTGGCTACCATCTTAATCTGCTCTATGTTACCTTTCTTCTCAATGCAGGTAGTCATCTTGAAATACCTTCTTTCAGTGTCTGGAAACAACTTCCATCCCTGCCCCTAACTCCCATCACCCCCTGTCTCCATCCCTCTCAAAGGGCCCATCTGCCATCTTGAATCTCTTTCCCACGCAGGGAGAGGTGGGCATAGTGGCCATCTTGCTCCCACTTGGGACGTTGCCTTTGGCTGAGCTGACTGTACATCAATGACCCAGACAACTGTAGCAATCTTTCCCTCCTCTCAATGTTCAATTTTGGAGGAGTAAGTTCGCCAACTTGTTCTGGTTCTTAGAAATCAGGACAAACCATTATGGCAAGTTGAAGACCCTAGGACTCTTCAGCTGGAGAGATGTCACACATGAGTCTGGAGACGTGGGTGGCCGGGTGTGGGGAAGGCAGCATATGGGAAGGGGGGAGTCCCGGGGGCTAGATCTGGGGGTCCAAAGGATGTGGGCTTGATGTAGCTGGTGAAAGCTCGTGGATGGGGTGTGGTGAGATAACCTGCCCTGGCTCTATACAGTCTGCAGGGAGGGACCACGCCCAGGTGCGGGTTGAAGTCATAGAAGGTAGGGGTCCCTGGAGGTCCAAGGGGAGAGGGGGGTGGCAGGAAGAGGCCTCCTCCAGGGGCTTCACCAAGGCTCAGGCTCACACTGACTCCTCGGACCTTGTAGTAACCGTTGGTTGGGTCCTGAGGGGACAAACGGGACTAGGTAAGCTATGTGAGGGTATGTGGATGAGGGTCACTGATGGAGGAACACACTGAGATAGAGCCAGACTGACAGACGGACAAGAGACAGAAGCAGAAGCAGACAGAGACCCAGAGACAGAGAGACAGACAAATAGATTGATAGAAAGACAAAGTAAGACAGAAAAATAGTGACAAGAGACAAAGGGACAGAAGAAGATGGGCAGAGGAAGGTGGAGAGAGAGGGACATAGGCCTGCTGAGGGCTGGCGGTGTGGAAGGAGATGAGAGGGAACAAGAGAGGGACCAAGACATTCATTCATGCATCTGCCCTACAGTCAGGCCCTGCGCTGTGCTGGGACATCTACCACTAGGAGAGACCTGGCCCTGTCCTCAGGGAGATCCCAGGCCAAATGGGAAATGACAAATCACCAGACAGAGCCCAGAGGGGTCAGGGCTGTGAGGGGGGAAGTAGAGGCAGAGTGTCTGGGGCTGCGATGGTGGAAACACAGGAAGAGTGATAGGGCTTGATGGGGAAGCCCAGGTCAGAGTGGTCCTGGCTGTGAAGGATCCAGGCTGTGAGGAGGGAAGCACAGGCTTTCTAGAACAAGAAATGTCTGAGCTGAGACCGGAGGAATGAAGGGGAGAATCAGGTAGGGATGGGAAGGAAGGTGGGAATGTTTCAGGCCAAGAGGATAGCATGTGCTAGGGACAGAGGAGAGAGAGAAGTGCTCTGGACTGGAGCCTGGGGTCAGTGGGGCTGTCCTGAGATGGGACCCCAAAGGTGCGGCAGGTGTGGGGAGATGTAAGGCCAGTGTGGGACCTGGTAGGTGCAAGGGGCCTGGGGGAGGCACACAGGAGGCCTGAAACATGGCTGTGATGGGGAAAGCACAGGCAGAGTGAACCCTGATCTGGGGCCCAAGATAGAGGCCAAGGCTGGGACAGCTATGTGGGCACAGTCAGCAGACATGCAAACTGAGGCTGTGGAGGTAGGTGAGATGGAGGGGGGGCAGGGGAGGGGGGCAAGGCCCCGGTTCTGGGGACAACAGAACAAGAAAGGAGGGGACAGAAGCAGGGAGAGAGTTGGAGACCCAGTGAAGGGAGTCCTTCCCCTCGCAATGCTCACCTTGCTCTCCAGAGTTCCCTCCTCGTCCAGAACCAGGTCACTGTGGTCCGTGTGCACGATGGGGCCCTGGAGGAGAGTGCTTAGTGAGAGGGAGTGGTCAGAGGATCCTCCTGCCCCAGTGACAGACCCAAGGACCCTCAGCTGGACAGGGGAGGCCAGGCAGGAGGGACCAAGAGCACCAGGGAGCTGGGGTCTGGATTGAGGACAACAAAGGGCCCCGGGGACATATTGTGTCTAGGGAGTAATTGGTCAGGGGCATATTTGGACTTGGGGGACATTTGTGTCTGGGGTCACTGCTGGGACTAGGGCCCTATTTGAGTTTGGGGGTCTATTTGGGTCTGGGTTACTATTTGGGTTTAGAGGCATAGTTCAGTCTGTTCCTGGCATCCTACCCGGTCCCCGCCGCTGCCTGTCTCCTCCTCGGCGCCCCTCGAACTGGAGCCATCGCTGCTGCCTGGGATTCGCACCAGGTTCTTTTGCTTGGAGAAAGAGGCTGAGGCCAGAGACAGTGGGGTGGCAGAGGTAAGCAAAGGGGCAGGGTTATAGTTTGGGGAGATCAACGAGCAGGAAGAGAGAGGACTGGGGCGGATAAGATTGGGAAGCTGGGAAGATGAGAACTCTGGTCTGGGAAGGCAAGGAGCATGACCCTGAGGAGATGGAGTTAACACTTAAGGGAGGAACCAGGCCTGAAGGTGAGCCAAGGCCCGTGAGGGGCCAGAGAGGTGGGACTGGGGCCAGGTCCCAAGGCCCAGCCAGTCAGTGGGCAGGTGAGTGTGTGCCAGGGGAGGCGCTGGGGCGGGGCTTGGGAGCTGACCCTTGCCGTGGCGCCAGCAGCAGAGGGCCACCCCAGTGATGACCATAAGGAGAGTCAAGGCTGCAGCAGCCACTCCAGCGACGATCTGCACAGTGGGCAGCAAGTCTGCAGGGAGAAGAGGGGGTGTCCCGAGGAGGGTGAGCAGAAGACTGAGGAGGAACTGGGGGACAGGGGCTCAGGGCGTCGCTTGGGGCTCTCTGGGTTCAGAAGGTCTCCAAGTTTGGGAATTTCCAAGGTTTGGAGTCCTCTAGCTTGGGGTCCTTGGATTTAAGGGCTCATGAATTTGGGGTCCCACAAGTTTAAACTCCATGGCATTAAGGAGTCTTTGAGTTTATAGGGGTTATTTGGAGGTTCCAGTTTTTGGGAGGCCTAAGTGTGAGGGGTCTCTCAGTTTAGGATTCCGTATTTGAGGTAATTTATTGTTTTTTTTGGGGGGGGGTCTCAGGATTCAAGAGACTCATAGTTTTGAGGTTCGCAAGGTTTGGGACGTCTCTGCATTTGGGGGTCATCGGTCTGGGGATTGCAGAGCTTTTGCGGTTTGGGACCCTCAGATTTAGGGTCCTCAGGCCCAGGGTCTCACCTCGACGGCCCAGGCTGACCCGGGTGCCTCCCTCGCCCAACCGGTTCCGGGCACTGCAGTTGAAACCCCGGCTAAAGTCGGACTCCTGGGTTCCAGAAATGTGTAGCACAGAGATCAGACCCGGACCTTGTCCCCCGCGGCCTTCCGGAGCTGGGAACGTCTCCACCAGGAACCGACCCCTCGACCCCGCTGCCAGGAAGCCCTCATCCCAAGACCAGACCTGGGGGCACAAAAGAGGGAGGTCACTGAGGAGCCTGGGGAGGCGGGTAGAGGGCGGGCAGGGTGTCGGGAAGTCAGAGGTAGTCATGGCAGTTTTAGGGGTCCGGCTGGGAGGTCAGGGATCACGGCTGGGTGGGTCATGATTGCAGGGACATTTCCTTACCACGGCCTCTGGGGCGGGGGACGCGAAGACTAGACACTGGAGGCGGGCGGGGCCCCTCAGGGAGGCGGGAGCAGACTGCAGGGCGGTCACTATCGGGGGAGCTGGTTTGGAGATTGTGGACCAATCAGATGAGAGACCCCGCCTCCCCAAGGCGCGTCCTCAATGGGGCGGGTCAGACCTGGGGCATCCTCCAGGAGCCACAGCCAACCAGGCCACGCCCCTCAACTAACTCTGAACCCCTGGGAGACTCATTCACCAGGGCCCGCCCCTACCCAGGCCCCGCCCCCACAAAGCTCCTCCTCCAGAGGCCACGCCCATCCCGTTAGCCCCACCCACTCTGCCCGCTCGGCGTCCCAGGACCTGCCCCGGCCTCTGGAAGGCGCCGCTTTCTCACCATTCACAGTCAGCCTAGCCTCAGCAGCGCCACCCCCCCGGCCCGAGAGCCCCGGCTCAGCCCTGCACACGTAGTCGCCTGCATCCTCGGGCCCCACTGACGGAAGACGCAGCGTGGGCCCGAAGCCCAGCACCTGGGATAGGGAAGGGGCATCAGGGGCAGGACCTTGGGAGGAAGGCCCGTCCACCGCCAGCCACCGCCACAAGCCGCAGATCGGGCCTCACCTGCGTGCCCCCGCGGCGGGTCCAGGTTACCCGTGGGAGCGGGTTCCCGCGCCAGGCACAGCTGAAGGAGGCGTCTTCCCCCGCGTCTACCGACAGGGGCTCTGGCTTGGCCTGCAGAATTGGCCCGACTGGAGGAGAGTAGGAGTCACATGACCGGGGACGGATGCAACTTCTGACTCGGGATCAGCCACTCAGAAACGACGCCCTCAAGGGCCCCAGTATAGACCCTCTGTCCACGACTACTCTGCTCACTCGCCCAGCCCCGCCCTCGCCCCGCCCTCGCCCCGCCCCTGCTCCACTTGGAAGCTGACCCGGCGCAGCCAAACCCGACCTACAACCTATTCCGGCCCCACCCCCTCCCACAGCGGGTGGCAGCCACGCCCCACTCTAGTCCCGGGCTCACACGAGCTCTCCACTATGGCCACACCCACGGCCCCGCTCCAGCTTACACTGCACATCCAGCGCGGTGCTGCGGTTGGCGCTACCCACTGCGTTGCTGACCTCGCAGGACACCGGTGCGGTCAGAAAAGAGGCGTCCGCCACGACCTCCAACATTGGCCCGCGGGCCCCTAGCACCGGGGAGCCCCCCTTTGCCCACCTGCGAAGGAGGTGGGCTGTTAGAGTTGACCCAGCCCAAGCTCCCCCCAAGCCTGTGCTCCCGGCTGGGAAGAGGTGATCTTTGTCCTCACCTATAGCCAGTGACAGGAGGTTGGGCCGTGGCCTGGCATAGGAAAGTGACCTTCTCTCCCTCTTGCACAGTCTGTGGTTCTGCAGACAGAGTCACCACTGGGGGGTCTGTGGAGGTGGGTGAACAGTCAGCAGTGGGAAAGGACCTGGAACACCTTCACTGATGGCCTAGGAGTCCAGTTCCCAGCCCCTCCAACCCAGACGTCTGGGTCCCCAGTCCTCTCTTCCCTTTGAACTAGGAGTCCAGACCTCCAGTCCCCAACTCACCCAGGGACCCCAGATCTGCAGCTCCCTCCTTCCTCAGACCCTAGAGTCCAGGCCCCAACCTCCTCTTTCCCCCAGGACCTCAGCTCAGGGCCCAGGGTCCACCGCACTCACACTGCAGGCTCAGTGTGATAGCTGTGTCCTTCCCTGCGGGCAGGGCCTGGCTCCGGGCCCGGCAGACCAAGGTGGCTCCATCATCACGGCTGGAAGGGGTCAGGAATAAGATGCTCTCTACTGATCCAGTGGTCCCTTCCTTCAGCAGGGTCTGGAGGTTATCAATAATAATAATGATTTCATCTACCCCTGACATAGTGCTTACTATGTGGCAAGCACTCTTCTAGGCATTTATAGGGGTTACTTTATTTAATCCTCTCAATTACCCTATGAGGTGCATACTGCTATTATCCTCATTGTACAGATAAGGAAACTGAGGGATAGTGAGGTTAAGTTACTTACTTAAGATCAATCAACTAGCAAGTGGTTGAGGCAGGATTTGAACCCAAGTAGTCTAGTCCTAGAGTCCTTACCTTTAACCACATACCAAGGGTCCCAGCCCTTGAACCCCTGCCCTCCCATGACCTTTTCTCCTCCGGATGAGCCTGTGGTGGGAGTGGACCCCCCAAGTTCCCTGTGTGGGCAAGGGTAGCACAGGGCCTTGGATCTGACCTGGTGGAAGGTGGTCCCATCCAGCCGGACCCCATCTCGGAACCACAGCAGCTCAGGGGTGGGGTGGGCATCCCCATGGCTCCGACAAGTCAGATTCGCAGGAACCCCAGCAACCAGAGACACGGACGGGCCACCCAGCACCTGGGGGGCTTCTGGGGGCACTGTGGGGTGGTCTAGGGTCAGAGCTGGATCATGGGCCCAGAGACCCTGATCTTCCCAGCTCTAACAGACCACTCCTCTGGGTTCCCTGGACTCTGATACTCCCGGCTAGCACTGGCTGTCCCCCTGGGCTCCCGGGGGAAAGGGGGGCTGGGTCCTCACCCAGGACATGCAGTTGGGCTGGTCGAGAGCGGAGGCCTGCTTGTGTAGCCTGACATTCGTACGATGCTTGATCCTCTAGCTCCACGGGCTTAATGTGAAGGTCGTGCTGACCACTGGCTGCATTCCCTGATATCCAGTACCGGGACCATCCTGGAGTTGGGGGAGAGGCAATCGTGCCACGGTTCTGAGTTCCTGGCCCCAGGCCTCCATCCCCAGACGTCCCACACCAGAAAGACACTACCAAAAGTAGATGCTGGGCCAGAGAGACACTGACCCTCTCCAAATCCAGAGTCACTGCAAACTTGGGGGGGGTAAAGTAGAAAAAAAAAAGCAAGAAAACAACTGCCATAAAAGTCAGCATGATGTTACAAATGACTACAATAAAAAAATAAACTAAGGAACAAAAGTCAGATTAGATGCTACCTCTGGGGTAAGGAGGGAGTGGGGGAAAGGAATAAGGAGGGCTTCCGGGGGCCTGGCAGTGGACCTGGGTAGTAGTTACATGGATGTCTACTTTATAATTATTTGGCAAATCTTCCATTTATGTTTTTTTAATATCTTTTTTTTTTGAGGAAGATTAGCTCTGAGCTAATGACTGCCAATCCTCCTCTTTTTGCGGAGGAGGACTGGCCCTGAGCTAACATCCATGCCCATCTTCCTCTACTTTTTACCTGGGATGCCAACCACAGCTTGGCTTTTGCTAAGTGATGCCATGTCTGCACCCGGGATCCAAACCGGCGAACCCCAGGCCACCGAGAAGCAGAATGTGCAAACTTAACCGCTACGCCACCGGGCCGGCCCCCCCATTTATGTTTTATGTGCTTTTCTGCATTTATTTATTTTCCAGTAAAAATAAAAATCCCCAAACCCTATGGGTCATCCTCAAAGAAGCTAAAAATTCAGGACTCCCAAATGTTTACTTGAGTCCATTAATTTTCCAAACCTGAAAATGTCAAAATCGAAACTTCACTAACATCCCAAGCCCAGCACCCTCACTATGCAGCCATCCCCTCCCTGAGTCGAGAGAACAGCCTCACCTGGCAGGTCCCTTTCACCCCCTAGAGCCAGCCCATCCTTAGTCCACTGAACCAGCCCCCGGTATGCGCCCAGGGCACAGGACAGCCGGGCCTCGTCCCCCAGCAGTACCACCAGGTCGTCGGGCTGCTGCAGGAAGTGGGGCAATCCGCCTAGGAGAATAGGGGGCAGCACAGCTGAGCTTAGCACATTCACCAGTTCCCTCACTCAGGACCCAGGAGTCTGGTCCCCAACCCCTTGTTCCCTCAGACCCAGAAGCCCAGGCCCCCAGAATTCTCCCTCAGACCCAGGAGTCGGAGCCCTCAGCCCCATCACCCCAGTAAAGCGGGGACTGGCAAACAATCTTCCCCCATATTTACTCACCCCCCATCCCCCTCCCCTCGCGGTACCTGCACGCCCTCTGAGGCAGAGAAAGAGGAGGAGGAGGGCGGGGACCAGCATCCTGAGTGTGGCCCCCAAGATCCCGCAGACTTGTTTTCACACTGGCTTCCCTGCCAACTCCTTCCTCGGCAGTACACCTCCCACCACTCTGGCCCAGAGCCCCCTTCGCCCCAGGCTGGACGCCCCCTAGTCTCCGGCCTGGAGGTTCCCGAGTCCGCTCAGCAGCAGCCTCCGACGCTCTGAAACCCGACCGGTTCCGCGCGCTGGCTCTGGGAGAGACCCCGGGAGGGCCGGATCCCGCTCACCCCGCCCCTGGGAGACCCGCCCTCTTCCCATTGAGAAACTCCCGAGGCCACGACGCGGATGAATGGGGGCATGCAGGGCGGGGTCCCCCCGGCGGGCCAGCGCCCCAGCCCAACTGGGGTCTGGGAGCCGGAACACCTGGGTTGAAGGAGGGGGTCCCGGCTGGGTTGGACACCTGCATCCTGCCAGGGTTGGCGGGGGGGGGCCCGGGAGTGAGGAGGAGGGAAGCGAGGGAGTGGAAGAAACTTGCTCAGCCCAGGTCCTGGAGGGACAGCGCTGAGTGGAAACAGAGCTATAAATGGGAGCCCCTGGGGCCTCGCTAGTTTCCGCGCCCTGGGGAGGCGGGGCCAGAGGCTCCCCTCGGCCTGCGGGTCAGGAAGAGGGCACCGGGGGACCTGAGGGGTAGCTGGGACCCCTGAGAAGAGGGGGGTTCAGATCTCCCCACCCCAAAACCCCTCCTCAAACTATCCGTCTGCCTGCCTTGTTACCGCTGCAACCCAAAGCAGGCCCGAAGATCCAGGCCCCCAGCCCCTCCTTTGCCAAGACCCCGCAGTCCGGGCTCAGGCCGTGGTTGCCGGGCGACGGCTGGGCGGCGCGGGGCCGGGCTGGGGGCGGCAGGGAGGCTGGGAACCGCACAGCTTGTCCTGACGGCTGCTGCCGCCCAGCTGGGGCGTTCCCACGCTGCAGGCAGGCCAGTGCGCTGCGCAGCTGGCCGGGCAGGTGGGCGGGACCCCGAGCCCACTGAGGGGGACCTGGGGGCCTGGGACCCTGGGTCTGACATTCCTGAACCTGTAGGGACTGGGGGTCCACACTCAGGTTCTCCGTTGTTCCTGAGCTCAGATTCTTGCATCCCTACATGGCAGGGGCTTGGACTCCCAGGATTCTAAGTCTGTGGTTCAGACCTCTGTTGACTGAGACACCAATGGCCTGAATTGCTAGTTTCTGAGGAGTTGGGGACTCGACTAGGTCCCCTGCCTGTGGCAGGGTGCAGTTGGGAGAGGACGACAGGGGGTCAGAAAATCTGGTCTTAAGTCTGAGAGTTCAGTGGATTTAACCACCAATCTCTCTCCCACCCCCACACAGACCCAGGAGGATTTGAAAATCAACAGTGAACATCTGCCCTAAGTCCTGTGTGTATGGGGGGAAGGGTTGGAGGCCTGAACTCCTGGGTCTTTGGGGAGAAGGGGCTGCAGACCTGGACAACTGAGTCTGAGAGGGATGGATCCTGGGGGCCCAGACTGCTAGGCTTGAGGACTCGAACTCCTGGCTCCTGGATGTTGAAATAGGATGATGAGCTTGGGGCCAGGACTCCTGAATCTTGGGGAGGAAGTCAGGTAGTAAGGCTGTTTTTCCAGACACCTGACTTCACTTCCCCTTCCCAGCTCTCTGGGGCCACAGGCATAGAGCCTGAGGTCCCAGGAGCAACCAGAGAAGGAAAACAGCCAAGGTGGAGGGTGGAAGGTTTGTGCTAATTAAAGATCCCAGCAACTGACAGCTCTCGCCCTGGCCCCAAGGGACACCATCTGGTGAGGGCCCCTATAACAGAACCTCCAGCTCTGCATCCAGCCCATTCCCCAGGAGGTGTGGAGGGTAGTGGGAGAGGGAACGTGGGAGGAGGGCAAGGAGTCAATAACGGGAGGGAAGGAGAAAGACTAGAGGGAGCATCAAGGATGGAGCTGTGGGGGCTCAGGCCAGATGCTTCATCTGGTTCCTGGAGGAGGACCAGGGAGGGGAGTTGAGGGGGGAGAGAGAGAGAAAGCGAGCAGTTCCAATTCCTACAGGAGATAAGCAGGCAGAAGAAGCTTATCCCCTGTGAGCGTGTATGCGCAAACTGGGGTGGGGAGGGCAGGCCAGCCAGCATATGGTTGTCAAATTCGAAGATCTGACCATCTGAAGGACTCAGAGATGGAGAAACAAACACAAGAAAGAGACATAGTCAAAAGTTGACTGAGAGCAAACATTTATTGAGCTCCTGGTGTGTATCAGAGAGAGAGAGTATGGAGTGGAGGGAGATGAGAACAAAGACAGAAAGACAGAAAAACAGAAAAACAGACATGTAGAGGCAGATAGAGAGAGAGACAGTAAAATAGTTACAGGTTGATGGAGATGACAACACCTAACGGAGAGAGAGGGAGAGAAAGACACTGAAACGGAGAGGAGAGTCTCAAAGAGATGAGAAAGATAGAAAGATGTATTGAGACAGATAGAGGGAGGGGGAGAGAGACACAGAGGAGGAAAGAAGAGACTGGAGAGACAGAGGGAAGCTACATGAACTTGAGCTCCTCCGCTGGCTCAGTGCTATATGCACACTTAGTGCTGGGGGTCTTGCACCCTGCCTTTGACTCTCACTCACTCTGACTGCCCTGCACTCTGCACACTTACACCTTAGACACTCTTACACACTCACACACTCTGCACATGCTTTCACAGGTCACAATTCACTCTCACCTTCCCCACGCTCACACACATGCTCACACGCTCACATGCACTTCACACACACACTGCACATAGGTATCTGCACTCTCCCAGTGTCTCACACACACTCTTGCACACTCCCCAGCAGAGATATCTGGTGTCACCATGGGCTGATATCTACTCCAGGAAGGAAGGGGCTTACCAAGGTCATGTACCAGGGCAGGGAAGAGCCGGCCGGCTCCCTGCTCCCCACGCTGAGCTGGGACTGCCTGGGTCTGACTACTCCCCCTTGTCCCTGGCCCCAGCCAGGCCCTTGGGGTCATGGGGGCTAGGGAGGCACCAAGGAATGTGCCTGGCATGTGCTGACAGGGGATTTCATGTTCCAGCTCAGCCGGGAGGAGCCTGCTGGGCAGAGGCCTGGAGCTGGGGACCCGGGAAGGAGCCTGGGGGAGGGAGCAGTGTGAGGAGGAGACCAAGCTGGGTCCGAGGACGGCCCCAACTCAGCCCCTGACCTCATCAGCCTCATCGCTCTCCTGGGCTCATGGGGTCTGCTGGACTCTGAACAGCGGGTCCTCCCTGAGGTGCTGTGAGCGGTGGGAGGAGAGCAGGGCTGGGGGTGGCAGGATAGAAGAAAGAGAAACAGAGACCAACAGGGAGGGAGATAGAGACTCAGACAGAGAGCGAGAGAGAGAGAGAGAAGGAGAGTGTCTTAGACAGGGAGACAGAGATAGAGAAAGACAGGGGCGGGAGGAAGGAGAGTGGAGGGTACTTATGGAGGGAGAGAGAGATAGGAAGGCAGAGAGAGAGAGAGACTTAGGGGAAGAGAGAAAAACAGAGAGAGAGGAGATGGAAAGAAAGAGACAAAGAGAAAAGCTAGAGACAGACATAGAACGAGGGACCAAGAGACAGACAGAGGCAGACGCAGGGGGCAGGCAATGGGCGCTTGGGGCTACAGGCAGAGGACATGGGATGGCCCTGAGGATCCCCGTCAATGCTCCCCTGCTCCTCATGGGGCTGCTGACCACAGGTGAGTGGGATCCTGGCCTTATGACCCAGCACCAAGTCGCTTTCATTTCCCACCCACGTTCTCCAGACAGACCCTCTGCTCTCTCCTCCTGACCCCCCTGTGTCCCCAGGCCTGGCCCAGTTGCCGATCCCTGCCTCAGCCCCCCGAGGCTTCTGGGCTTTGCCTGAGAACATGACGGTGGTGGAGGGGGCCGCTGCGGAGCTGCGGTGTGGGGTCAGCGCCCCTGGCAGTGCTGTGCAATGGGCCAAAGATGGGCTCCTTCTCGGCCCTGACCGCAGGATCCCTGGCTTCCCGCGGTACCGCCTGGAAGGGGACCCTGCTAGAGGTAAGGGGTCAGAGCCTGAGACCCTGAGCCACCAGCAGAGGCTGACCGTGGCCCTGATCTTGGTCCCACCTGCAGGTGAATTCCACCTACACATTGAAGCCTGCGACCTCAGCGACGATGCAGAGTACGAGTGCCAGGTCAGCCGCTCAGAGACGGGCCCGGAGCTCGTGTCTCCCAGAGTGATTCTCTCCGTGCTGGGTATGGATGAGAGACCCCCCAGGGCCCAGGAGGCTGGACCCCAAGCCCTCTCCTACCCTGGGATCCAAGAGTCCAATCCCTTACCCAAGGCCAGGGGCGCAGAACTCATTTCATGAGCAATGAGCCCCAAAGCCCAAACTCTCATCTCCCTCTTGGAGTGGCCTCTCACCCCAGACCCTTTCTCACCAGTGCCCCCCAAGGTGCTTCAGCTGACCCCCGAGGCAGGGAGCACGGTCACGTGGGTGGCTGGACAGGAGTACGAGGTCAGCTGTGTGTCTGGGGACGCAAAGCCAGCACCTGACATCACTTTCGTCCAGAGTGAGTGTGGGTGAATTGGTGGGGGCAACGTGAAGCCCCGGGAGTGGGAGGGGATGTCTCCCTGCCAGTGACCTCCCAGGGGCCCAGAAAATACGACATTCCTGAGATGAGGATGCACGAGCAGGCCTGGGGAGATGCCGGGGACAGTGTGGGACCCTGTGGATGGGAGGGGACATCAGGGAGAAACACCCAGGAGATGGCAGGACTGCTGGTCTGGGACTCGGGGAGAGGCCGAAGCTCCACATGGAGATATGAGTGTCATTGTTGGTGCAGAAACAAGGAGCTGAGGTAATGGGGTGGAGGTGATACAACCCAGCAAGGAGGGGAGGGGAGTGGGGAGACTCAGGCCCCAGCCCTGAGGACCCCAGTATTCAGCGAGGCTTGGAGATGTGGAGGGGACAGAGTTAGTGCTTTTCCCCCAGAGCCAGGAGGGAGGGAGCAGAGTGTCTACCCTGAGAACTTCCAGGCCATGCTCCCCAAGGTCTATGTTGGGTGGAGCCTGGCATTCCTCCAGCCTTCTTGTTACCCAAAGGTGGACAGGTAATCCCGGATATCTCTGCTAACGTGAATGCGGGGTCCCAGGAGAAACTCTTCACCACAGAGGCCAAAGTCAGGTACGGATGTTGGGATGCCCTCCCCGCCATGATGACCCCCAAACTTCTCCCTGAAAACCCCATATCCTAGGGATTCGAGCAGGAAAGCCTGGGCCAGGTATGAACACCTGGGACCCAAGTCTTCACCTGACACTCCAAAACTTTGTTATGGGAACCCCCATTCCTGAGTATCAAACACAAAGATTTTGGCCAGGTGTGGGCCTCTGGAACCCCAGTTCTCACTGCTGACCCCCTAAATCTCTTCCACGAAATTCCAGATCCTAGAAGAAACCAGCATAGAGACTTAGACCAGGTGTGGGACGTGGGACCCCCACTTCTTCACCCTGACTCCCTAAATTTCAGATGATGACTCTGACTCCAGAATCCCAATTTCTCATCCAGGGTGACACCCCAGAGCTCGGATAATGGGCAGTTACTGGTCTGTGAGGGGTCCAGCCCAGCTTTGGACACCCCTATCAAGGTCTCAGTCACCATGAATGTTTTGTGTAAGTGGGAAACTGAGTCAGCTGTGGGCACTGGGAATGGGGAGCGGGAATCAGGGAGCCTGGGGGGGGGCACAGGGATTATGGAAGATTCAGACTATCAAGGAGAAACTGGGGGGGGGGGGCGCAGTTCAGAAGCAGGTTGAGAAGCCTGGAAAGAACGGATGGGCTCCCCAGGCCCACTGAATGACTCCTGCTCCCCAGTCCCCCCAGGACCCCCTGTCATTGAGTGGCCGGGCCTGGACGAGGGGCACGTGCGGGCAGGGCAGACCTTGGAGCTGCTGTGCATGTCCCGAGGCGGGAATCCGCCAGCCACACTGCAGTGGCTGAAGGTGAGGGCAGAAACAGCCACAGGGGTGGGGCAAAGGGCAGGGGCCAGGAGCTGGCCCTGAGCTGGTTCAGGGCTGTTCTGTCTCCAGAATGGCCAGCCTCTGTCCACAGCATGGGGCACGGAGCATGCTCACTCGGTGGCCCGCAGCATGCTAGTGATGATGGTGCGGCCGGAAGACCACGGGGCAAGGCTCAGCTGTGAGGCCCACAACAGCGTATCTACAAAGATACAGGAACGTGGGGTCATGCTACAGGTCACTTGTGAGTCCTGGTGCCAGCTGCCCATCTGTCAGTCCACGCCCCAGAGAACCATCTGTTTGTGCCCCCAAATCATGCCTGTCTGATGCCAAAGACCTTGGCATCTGTCCCCGGTCTCTTGTCTATCTGGGCTGGCCTGTGAGGAATCCAGCCCAGCTTGGCATCTCTCCTCCGCCCATTGTCTCTGCAGTTCCCCCCAGCGCCATTACCATCCTGGGTTCTGCATCCCAGTCTGAGAACAAGAACGTGACGCTCTCCTGCATCACCAAGTCTAGTCGCCCTCGCGTTCTCCTGCGATGGTGGCTGGGCTGGCGGCAGCTGCAGCCCACGGAGGAGACGGTCATGGATGTGAGGCGGGAGCCAGGCTCCTGGGTCTGAGGGAGGAGGGAGCTGAGGGCATGGCTCCTGGATCTGGGAGAGGAAGGGTCTGGCAGCCTGGACGCCTTGGTCCTTGGGGAGCATGGACTGGGGCCTGGGCCTCCTGGGTCTGACAAGGAGGGGATGGAGACGCTTCATATGTCCCTGCTGGGGTCTGGGGTGGACCCAGGTTTCCGGTGCCATGGATGGGGGTACCCTAGTCCCCAAGTCTGAAGCTCACTCCCTGCCAGGGCCTGCATGGTGGCCACATCTCCATGTCCAACCTGACGTTCCTCGTGCGCCGGGAGGACAATGGTCTGACCCTCACGTGCGAGGCCTTCAGTGATGCCTTTACCAAGGAGACCTTCAAGAAGACGCTCACACTGAACGTGAAATGTGAGCCCCACCCATGCCTGGGGGTGCCCCACGCCTTAGAGACCCCGCCCAAGGCTTCAGCCCAGAGAGAAAAGCCCCTCTTCCCGGCTCTCCTCCAGATCCTGCCCAGAAGCTGTGGATCGAGGGTCCCCCAGTGGGGCAGCGCCTCCGGGCTGGGACTCGGGTGAGGCTGGTGTGTTTGGCCATTGGAGGCAACCCAGACCCCACCCTCACCTGGTACAAGGTCGGTGTCAAGCAAGGGCTGTGGGGTGGCCAGGAACGTGGCAAAGGATGAAAGCCCTGTCTCCTCCAGAGTCTTGGGAAATCTTGCAAAAACCTGAATTTGGTGAAAAATACTACAGATTTTGAGTTTGGTCAGGAAATTGAAAAAGACACAAACGCCATGAGAATTAAATGGAGTCCTAGGAAAATTCTGGGAATTCTGGGAAAACAGTGTGAATTCTAGAATAAAAGAAGGAATTCTGGATCAGGATCGGGAATTCTAGAGAAAAGCCAATTAATTTCATTAAAATTCAAGGAAATCCTGGTGAAATATCAGAATTCAGGTGAAATGACAGGAATTTTAGGGAAAAACTAAGAATTCCAGGAACAAAGACAATGATAGTCTGAGCAAAGGCCCGAAATTTGGGGGAAGGACTAGTATTTCCACATAACATTTGAAAACCCATTACATTAAATTGAATTCTTGGGATTTGTGAGTAAGAAAGTGAAATTCTATTAAAATTAAAAGACCTTCTGACAGAATTCTA